AACCCTAAGCCCTCAACCCTAAGCCCCAAGCCGGCCTCGGGTTCAGGGGTTGAGGTGCAGGGTTTAGGGTTGAGGGTTTAGGGTTGAGGGTTGAGGGTTTAGGGTTTAGGGTTGAGGGTTTAGGGTTGAGGGTTCGGGGTTTAGGGTTAGGGTTTAGGGTGTAGGGTTTAGGGTTTAGGGTTTAGGGCTTGGGGTTTAGAGTTTTGCGTACTAACACTGGAAAAGCACAGAATGGCGGTACGAACATGAAGGCTGATACGAACACCAACACTAAGATTCACAATACGAATCCTTACGCTTTACTTACTATTACGATACTAACAGTCATACTAAGACTGAGTCAATACAAGAGTGACTATGATTGCTAGTATTATCACTACTGCTTGACATCACTACTGTTTGACGTTATAGTCGTAAACCTGATAAGATAAAGAATAAATCGTAAAAGTGGTGGGCATACTGAGGACTAATCCGAATGTAAATTTTCTTGTCGTGTCAAAGTGATTATTACTGATATTACTGTAACTAGTAGTCGTCGTCGTTGCAGCAACACAGTAGTAGTAGCAGAAACAGAAGCAGCAGCAGCAGCAGCAGCAGCAGCAGCAGCAGCAGCAGCAAGCAGCAGCAGAAGCAGTAGCAGTAGCAGTAGCAGTAGCGCTTGCACTAGCACTATCACCAGCACTAGCACTAGCAGTAGCACGTGCAGCAGCAGTGGTGGTAGTAGTAGCAGTAGTACCAGCAGCAGCAGCAGCAGCAGCAGCAGCAGGAGCAGCAGCGGCAGTAGTATCCATAGTATGCCTTTTTATTACATTATGTGATGGCCATACTTATGGTTCTTATTCTGAGCAGCTGTACCACCATCATGTCCACTACCATTGTTGGTTCTATTCTCATTGTTATCACTATGGTAAACTGTTGTACTTTTGGTACTGTGATTGCTATCACTGGTATTGCTAGTTGTCATTCATCCCTATGACTAGTGTTGTCAGATACCAGTACTTTCATTACTACTACTGTGTCTATCATTGTTGCCGATTTCTGATTGGCGTGGAATTTCTATTACGTGTATGATTATTGGGATGATGGGCTGTCGTAGAGGGCGAACTCTCCACCCTGAGCCCTGCGCCCTAAACGACATAAACCCTGTGTACACCCTCAGCAACCTGTCTATCAACCTCCCTAAAGGCTCCTGGGCCAACATGAAGGACGAGATCTTGAGGTCTTTCTCGGCCTCAGCAGCCACCACCTGGGTTGCTGTTGACAAGGAACTTAAACTAAGTTACTATAATAAGGATACCCTACTATTTACTACATATCCCTCCTAAACCCCAAGCAAGCCCCCAAATCCTACACCCTAATCCCCAAAATCCCCAAAATCCCCAAAATCCCCAAAATCCCCCAAATCCTAATCCCCGAAAGCCCGCAAATCCTAAACCCTAATCCCCTTAAAGCCTCCAAAATCCTAAACCCTCATCCCCTAAAGCCCCCAAATCCTAAACCCCAAACCCNNTAAACCCTAAACCCAAATCCCCTAAAGCTTGATGGTAACAACCCAGCCACCATGTCTTGGTCGATGCGCACCACCCAGCCCTTGGGACCCTTCACCTCGGCGATGCTTAGGGTTTAGGGTTTAG